TAAATGTTCAACATCACTCGTAATAAGGGAGATGCAAATTAAAACCACAATGAGATACCACCTCACCCCAGTGAGAATGGCACATCTTCAAACAACTAGCAACAACAAATGTTGGCGAGAATGTAGAGAAAAAGGAACTCCTACACTGCTGGTGGGAATGCAAACTAGTACAACCACTATGGAAAACTGTTTGGAGGTTCCTCAAACTGCTAAACACGGAGCTTCCCTATGACCCAGCAATTCCACTCCTAGGTATCTACCCAAAAGACACAAAAACACTGATTGAAAAAGATACCTGTACCCCCATGTTTATTGCTGCTTTATTTACAATTGGAAAAACATGGAAGCAGCCCAAATGCCCAAAAGTAGATGACTGGATAAAAAAGATGTGGTACATATATACAATGGAATATTACTCAGTAACCAAAAAAGAGAAACACATGTCTTTTGCAGCAACTTGGATGGAGCTGGAAAAGATCATGCTTAGTGAGATAAGCCAGAAAGAGAAAGAAAAATACCGGATGGTTTCACTCAAAGCAGGAGTAGAATGGACCAGGCGAGAAAATAACAAGAATAATGAACAGCCATATACCAGAGACATTTTGTGGGGGTGGAGTGGGGAATGGGATCAAAAACCGGGGGGTGGAGGGGGGAAGGGAGGGAAATGCACGGGACTATAGTGGTGGCACAGGGGTGATTTGGTGATGGGAAACCCGCGGGATTACAATCAAGATGGAAAAAAAAAATGTGCAAAATGATGTAAAAATAAACTTTTGTAATAATTAAAAAAAAAATCTTAAAATAAAAATAATAAAAAAAAATAACAGCTGCAGGTCACAGATTGGCTCCTGGAAATACCCAGGGTTCACAGGCTTTGGAGTGACAGCCAACATTACTGGGGAACAGTGAGTCTAGGATTCCAGTCCCCCAAATCGGTAGTTAGGATAGCCATACCTGATGAGGATCTCCCTGCCTGTAACATTTCCATTAGGAAAACAGGCAACAAAGCTTCAGCAGTATTTGTACCCATGATTCTCACTAGGAATCACAGATGCTCAGATGTGAACGGTTGTCATCTCACCTCAACTATTATTATTCATGAGCACCACTACTAAGTCATTACTAAAACCACGCCTAGGTCTAATTCTAGAGTAGAGAACACATCTCTTATATCACAGTTTTAATGTTTAATATTTTGATAAAATCGATAGTCTTTGCAACCCCATGTATTTTATTTTATGCATTTCTCCAGACTTCCTATGAGGTCTGGAGGCCCAACGCTGTGAATCATGAGTAGAAAACATGATTAGTAGGTGAATCAGCTTTGCTGCCCCCTCTCCTCTGCTCAAACCTTGCTTTTATTTGGATTAGGTGGCAGCTGGTGGCAAATGAGAGAAGAGTGGCCCATTTGCCCAACAACTTTCCTTCTCCCAGGTGTCCAAGAGTATGGAAGTCCCATAAAATATTAGAGCTGTTCATTTAGGTTAAGGTGCAAATTCCTTGTGTGGGAATACCATGCCATCTGTTTCCAGCTTCTAACACCTCAGTGGTAGGGAGGAAGGGGTTATCAGCATCTAATGTGAGTAGCATCTTGTAAGTCCAGTCTCTGGGTGAGAGGGTGCTATTTCCTAGAAGGGGGTGGGGGATCACATCAGTTAAAGGAACACAGGTATGCCAAGAGGGTTTTTAGTTTTATTCTGAATAAATGTTTAAGTCTGAAGTGAGAGGAACAAGACTGGGATAGCCAGAGGCATAGAAGGGATGGAGAGCAGAGCTCAGAGCCAAACTTCTAGATGGAACTTTCTGCATTCCACATTCCAAAGCCTGCAGTCAATTCTGAACCTTCAGGAATCTTATCAACTTCCTGGAACCGACTTAGACTTCTCTACATTAGATACTTCCCTGAAGCACTTTGAAACACAAGTACTAGATTCACCAAACAAACTTGACAAGAGTTAATAGAATATTCTGGGTTTCTCTCTCTCTTTCTTTTTTCAGAGTTTAAAAATAATATAATAGTTTATTTTTACATCATTTTGTGCCTTTTCCAATCTCAGTTGTAATCCCTGTGGGCTTCCCATCACCAAATCACCCGCATGCCATCACCATAGTCCAGTACACTTCCCTACCCCTGCCATTTTTGAACCCATCCCCCACTCCACCCCTGTATAATGTCTCTGGTCTATAGTTGTTCATTATCATTATTATTTTCTCCTCTGGTCCTTTATACTCCTGCTATTGTTATAGGGCACCCCAATGTGAATTGGGTTGCCTGTCTGTGGGTCCTCACCCGTGCGCTTACGATTCAATCGTATTATGGACACACTTCAAAAGGTTAAATAATGGATTTATTTATAAGGAGAAAGGTAAAGGGATAACCCAGGGAAAG